CCATCCGTCTGTCTATCCCACTGGGGAGTACCACCCTCTCCCACCCTCATGATACTGTACAGGGTTCATTTTTGTAGCGAAAGTAGTTTCTGTCCTAGCCGGCAACCGGAGTGGGCCTTTTTTTGTTTGTTTTCTTGTTTTCCTTTCTTTCTTTTTCTTTGTACATACTGTAAGGTTGGTTTGTAAATTTATTCTACAGAGGCAAAAAGGGAAAATAAATGTGCCCTTCCCCGGCTGACCCGTCAGGGAAGGAAGGGTGGGGATCTCCCAAGAGGGAGAATCCCTGTTCCTGTTGTATTATATCAACTGTACCATAGACCCCAACAGGGTGGGCTCGGCGCTGTTTGATGGGGAGACGGTTCATCCAGGGGGTGAGGGCTGGGCAGAGCCTGTCCCTCCCCCTGCCCAGGGCTGGGCTCGACTGGCAACAGTTGAGATGGACCATCCCACCCCCAATCAGGGCTCCTCTCTCCATGGGGGGTGCACAAGTCCCCCAGGAGGTACTCCAGTTTATCCACTTTGATGGTCAATCAATCAGTCCATTGATCGATAATCTTTCGATCTTGTCTCCAATTAAACCGAGGCTTTCACTGATCTTCCTGGCTAATGTGGCTTTCTTTCCCACCTGGTCCTTGAGGTGCGCCTCTCCAGCACTGCCTGCCTGGGGCGGGAGGTGCGGGAAAGGGGGCTCTGACCCTATCCCTCCCCAAGTACATAGAACTTGAGGGGGTTGCAGGGAGCTTGGCGGAAAGCAGCTTCCAGGCGTGGGCTAGGGCCTGGCACAGGGAACTCCAGATTGTAAAACAGAGGTTGAGACCAGGCCGTCTTTGGAGGCCAGCAGACCCAGGTGACCTCGCTTCCTCCACACAGAACATGTCTGACACGACTCTTGGGTTCTTCTGGAATCTCAAATCACCCCTGGAAGCCTCCAAGAGGCCTGACTGACACCTTCACCATGATTTGACACCTTCTGGCTGCCAGGTCATGATAAAAGGTTTTGGGGCAAATTCTGCCGTGTAGATATTAAACTTGATTAGCGAGCACAAGAGCATCGACACCTGTAAATCCCATGAATTCCCAGCATTCTGTCCATGTTGGTGTTGCAACCTTCATGTTGCATGAAAACAAAACCAAGGAACAAACCTGAACAATTTAAAGGCAGGATTCTGTGTTGCTTTGGGCCTGTTAGTGGTATGGGTATCAGGCAAGCAGAATCCTCCAAATTAATGACTGGACAAAGAACAGGCTTGGGTTATAAACTGTTTTCTAATTTGTTCATACAAGGTTAGGGAGTGCACCTCATATGTTAACCAATCCACATATTTTAATACTATTAATTCCACCCATGGGCACCCCCTTTTCCCACCTTTATCAGGCTAATTAATGAGCCCCCAATGTCACCTATTCAATGGTGCTGCCCCGGGCAGTGTGGCTCGGTTGGTTGGGCATTGTCTCATGTACCTAAAGGTTTCTGGTTCAATTCCCAGTCAGGGCATATGCCCAGGTTGATTGATGTTTCACTCTCACATCCATATGTTTCTCTCTCTCCCTCTCCCTCTCTCTCTAAAAAATCCTAAACAACAAAATCACAAACGGTGCTGACATTCATTATGCTAAAGAACAAAACTTCCCAGGTAGAAGATGGATAGGGGAAGTGTTTGTGATGTGGGCTTTTGGATTAGAATACTGGCTGCCTCTGGGATATAATAAGCAAATACACACACACACACACACACACACACACACACACACACACACAGTACTTGAGTGGTTAAGCACCGTGGGGTCAGTAGATGTATATATTACAGCTTGTGTGTTTTGGAACAAAATGAGGGCAGCTTCCTTGAATCGAAGGAAAAGCTGACACACCTGCTCTGCCTTCCATCACTAGCACCAGAGACCAGTTTGGATCCCAGCTCTCGCTCTGTGCCCTCGGGTGTGATCGCTCTGCCCTCAGTTGTCTCATCTGTAAAATGGGATAAAAATCTCAGACTCATGGAGTCAGTCTTGAGCAGCGCTGTCCAGCTGAAACTTCTATGATGGGAATGTTCTATGTCTGTGCTATCAACATAGTAGCCACTAGCCCCATGTGGCTATTAAGCACTTGAAATATCACTAGTGCAGCCCTGACCGGTTTGGCTCAGTAGATAGAGCGTCGGCCTGCGGACTCAAGGGTCCTAGGTTCGATTCTGGCCAAGGGCATGTACCTTGGTTGCGGGCACATCCCCAGTGGGAGGTGTGCAAGAGGCAGCTGATCGATGTTTCTCTCTCATCGATGTTTCTAACTCTCTATCCCTCTCTCTTCCTCTCTGTGAAAAATCAATAAAATATATTTTTTAAAAAGAAATATCGCTAGTGCAATTGAGAAACTGAAGTTTTAATTTTCCTTTACATTAAATAGTCACATGTAGCCAATGGCTACTGTATCAGACTACACAGCTCTGGGACTTACATCTGAGAGGGAGGTAGAGGATTTAGTGCATCAAGGTTTATATGCTTGACTGTGGTTTAAAGATTCACAGTAGATGTCCTGGCCCAGAGGAGTGGAGGCAGCCTGGACCCAGAGAGGAGAAGCAAAAACTAGCGAGAAGTTTCCAGAGAATCTGAACTTTGTGCAAGAAGCAGAGAGGAGAACCAGCTGTTTCCCCAAGGGTGTTTCCAAGGGAGGCAGAGTCGGGGAAAGGGTATCAGGATGGGGGTCAGGGGGCAACAATACTCACCCCAGGTGGCAGGGGATGGCCAGGTGGGCCCGGGCAGCCTTCTTCCTCCAGGCCTCGGTCTCCCCCAGAGTGAAAGGGCAGGCGTGATGTCCCAAAGGTCTCCAGTGTTGGACAAAGTTGACAGGCTGAGAATGTTGGTCAAAGGGTAGAGGTGGCATGTGACCATCACTGGCTCTTTACAACCCTCCTGATGGGGAGTTCAGCTTTCCTCGGGCGAGGATGACCAAGGGCAGGGAGGCCTTGTAATCTGAATAGGGCTGGGTAAACTGGAGAAGGGGTGGAGTCAGTTTATTCTCTGAAGTTGACATCAGCCGCTTGCAGGCTACAGAGTCTTAAGCAAACAGCTCCGCCTCTCCCAGCCTTTCCAGGGCTCTGATCTCATTAGGAGGATTATTTTATTCACTCTCCAGCAATCCTGGAGGCGTGTACTCTCGTAGGCTCTATTTTGCAGAAGAGGAAACTGAGGCCAAGAAAGGATTTCACAATGTTGGGAAAAATTCAGGGAAATAAGGCCAGGATCTCACTTTACCTGGTGACTGTTCCACAATGACAGCTGCTTGATACTTTTATATTATTAGCGCTATTTTATTTCACACGCATAAAATCTTGAGATGTGGGTAATATTTTTCCCTCTTTCATAGCATAAAACTATAGGGAAGTGCAAATGAAAAGCACTGTAGTTCCTTTTTTTATCTATTGGCAAATAATGAATATATAAACCGTTCTGGGGTGGGCAAAGCACTTTTATAGCTCGTTAGTGCTAATGGAAGTTGACACAGAAATCTTTCCAGAAGTGATCTGTCAATATTTATCGAAAACATAACAACTGTGCATGCATTTTGACCCAGCCATTGCAGTTTTAAAAGTACTTATCCTAAAGAAACAGTTGGATGAAAACCATAAGATGCGGGTATAAAAGGCCCACTCTGGTGTTGGTCAGAATATTAAAGAATTATTAAAGACCCAGATGTCCAACCTAGGGAGTCATTAAAGTATGCTTTGCCGGCACAATAGAATAATATGCAGCCATTAAGAACAATAAGGTGAGTGCTGGCCTGTGTTTCTCAGTAGTTAGCGTGTCAGCCTGTCCCTGAAGGGTTGAGGGTTCGATTCCCAGTCAAGGGCACATACCTGGGTTGCAGGTTTGATCCCCAGCCGGAGCTTGTGCAGGAGGCAACCAATCGATATGTCTCTCACATCGATGTTTCTTCTCTCTCTCTCTCTCTCTCTCTCTCTCTCTCTTCTTCCCTTCCTTCCTTCCACTCCCTCTAAAATGCAATGGAAAAACATCCTGGGGTGAGGATTAAACAATAAGGTGAGTCTACATTGAAATGACAAGATGTTTAACGTAAGAAGGGCAGGTTTCAAAACATTCTGCATTATATAAGATCCTACTAAAAAATATGTGCATAGAAAAGGCAGCTTGTCCATCAAAATATTAACAGTTTGCCAATGGGAGGATTAGAAGAGATCTGTGCTTTCTGTTCTGTAATCTTAGCAGTGAGCATGTTTTAAGTATTTTTAAAATCCAGGGGAAAGTTATTTCATAATCAGAAGAAATAAAAGCTGGTCGCTGTTACCTGGGAACCACAAAGGCCTGGTAGATAAGCACACGGGCTCTGGATTCAGCTTGCCGGGGCTCTAGTTCCGACTCTGCCAGTTAATGATGGGGTTAGTCTGAGCGGGTTACTTACCGGCTCTGTGCCTGTTTCCCTCGTTGTAAAATGCAAATAATAACAGCCCAGGTTTTCCAGGCGATTACTATGTGCCGGGCACTGTTTGTTTTACGTAAATTATTGCACTTAATTTTCACAAGAGCCTATAAAGTAGATAGTGTTGTTATTATAAAATGGGTCATAGACAGGGCACCCAATCTGCGGGAGCTCGTTCCCGAGCGCCCCTAGAGCAGCGCTAAGGCACTGCAGCAGGACAGAGAGTCGCGCACGCGCAGACCGGGAAGGAGGCGTGGCGAGGCCGGCGGGAGATTTTCCCGCGACACGATTGGCTGGCGCGAGCGGAGGGGCGCGGACGGAAGCAGGTGAGACGAACACCTGCGGCGGCGGAGGGGACCGGCTGTCTGGCGTCACTCCCTTCCGGAGAGTGACCCCAACGTCGGTTCCACTTTCTTAGAGGGACCCCAGCGTCACCCCCTTGTCCTCAGAGTACCCTGGCGTCATCCCCCCCTTCTTGAGGCTAACTCCGGACACCGCCCCCTTTCCTGAGAGTGACCCCTGAGACGCCCACCTTTCCCAAGACGGACCCCGGCGTCCTCTCTCCCTCCTGAGGTGACCCTAGCATCGGTTCTTCCTCCTGAGAGTGACGTCAGAGTCGCCCCACTTCCTTCGGCGTGGACAGCCCTTCCCAAGGGGACCCTGGTCTCAGTCCCCTTCCTGAGGGGTCCCCTCCCGTGACTTTATCTCTTCCCACGGGGACCCCAGGTCAGACCGCTTCCTCCAAGGTCCCCAGGATGGTTCCTCCTTCCTGGAAAGTGGCGCGTCTTTGCCCCCCGCCCCCTTTCCCGAGGCTTCCTCTGTCCCCCTGTGCTCCGAGGTGCCCCCTCCTCCCTTCCAGTTTGAGGTGCTCCGTGCAAAAAGGCTTCAGTGGCTCCCACATATGAGAAGCTCCCTCCGACCACCCCCTTCCCGGCTGGGGACTGGGCGGGGGTGAAACCAGCTCACGGAGGAACTCGCCGTGTTACACAGAAATCGTTTCAGGAACTGGGGCTGTTTCCCCTGAAAATGGAAGCCGCAGGAAGGATCTAAAGCTGCCCGACACTATGTATCAAGCACTTCTCACCCTTTTACGATTGAAAATGTGTAATTTTTCAATTTTACCTGGCAAATTGAAAAAAAGTAATTTTTTTTTACCCCGGACAGGCATTACTTTGTTTCATGAAGTTCCAAGAGATGGTAACAGTTAGAAGGAGGTCACAGGGGCTCTCTCGTGTTGAACTGAAATCCAGATGGCTGAGTGTCTTACTCCTGCACAGAACTGGGCGGACCCGCACCCTTGGAGAAACATCTAGAACAGTGGTTCTCAACCTTCTGGCCCTTTAAATACAGTTCCTCATGTTGTGACCCAACCATAAAATTATTTTCGTTGCTACTTCATAACTGTAATGTTGCTACTGTTATGAATCATAATGTAAATATCTGATATGCAGGATGGTCTTAGGCGACCCCTGTGAAAGGGTCGTTCGACTGCCAAAGGGGTCGCGACCCACAGGTTGAGAACCGCTGATCTAGAAGATTTGGCCAATTCCATTCACTCATGAGAACGTTTCTTGCAAATCCACTGTGACCAAGAATTCACCTGGAAATTGTTCCTCTTTTCGTTAACATTCAAATACACGTGAAGCTCTTAATCTTGTGCCCATAAGTAAAATGGTGGACAAGGCAGAAAAACAGAAGGATAATGATGACTACAAAGCGGACAAATGCATCATGACGTCTGCAAGCTACATTTTTCTGGAGCGCTTCTCAGGCTTTCCGGTTGCATGTTAATGGCCAATCAAGCAAGTATCCGTCTCTCCCCTCGCTGGCTGTGGGCTGCCGGAGGGCAGAAGTCATGTCGTCGCTCCCAGTTGTCTCTCCACTGTGCCTGGAACGTGGTAGGCACTGCAGTATTTGTTGTTCCCGCCCTAACTCTTCATTTAGTGAATCCCTAGAGGAGCTGGGCCATGGCCAGGGAGGGTGAAATATGATGAATCAGAGGAAAGCACAGCTCAGAGTTGACAGGGACCCCACATGCAAGAACTGAGACTCAAGAGAGAAGCACCAACTCCTTGGCTGATGCAATTCATCTTTCTTGACCCTGAAGCTGGGAGCAAGTGAAGGCGAAGAGGCAGCCGAAGTCGGCATCAGGCTGCTGTGTTTCCGATTTACCACCAAAGTTGTGCAGATCGGCTGACAAAATCCCGGAGGGTCTTGGGATCTGTAGCCTGAGACGTATTCCTGGAGGCCATGCTCAAACTGTGGCACAATAAAATCAAAGTTACAGCGCTGAGGTGTGGATGTGGTGCTGACGCTCTCTCAGGAGGAAGAGTCCTTTAAGTAGGGAGCTTCTGGGATGCATTGGCAGCAGTTGTATTGGATTTATAAAAAATATAGTTTTCCCAGAAGTTTTGAAGAATGATCATTTAAAAAATAACAAGTCAAGGTCAAGGGCCTTCTACACCCTGGGGACTCGTTCAATCTTGTTCCTTTTCTAACTTCTCTGGAAATAGTTCCTCTTTCCATGCAGAGGCCCACAAGAGGGTGCTGCACTCCTTCTAGAGTAGACTTACCTTCTTGTATCCGCCGAAGGCCACAGGGAGCTACAAAACCATCCTAAAATAAGACAGGAAGTACTGATTTCCCACCAGCGATGAGTAATCAAAAGTAACCCAGGTAAAGGCTCTGAGGACAATAAATGTTATCACTTATCATTCTAATTTTAACAACCTTGATAAATCAGATTAATCTCATGTTCTCAGTACTTACCGCATTCCTAGTCAATAACACTACATTTATTGTATTTTTACTGTGTTTGCCAGGTACTAGGTACTATTATCACCATTTTACAGATGAGGAAAGGAGGCACAGAGATTTGCACTAAGTGCTAGATATGGATGTCAACCCTAGTCTGTTGACTCTAGTGTATTATTTTTTTATTTTCTTAAATTCTATCTTCTGTAATATGTATGTGCACTAACATTTATAATTTAAAACCAGAATACACTCAAAGAAGAAGATATTCATTGATGCAAAGGTACAATGTATCGTATAAGCAAGGGACTCTGTACATCCAGAACTACAGTGCCTTTCACAGAGTTGAAAGTTACCTTAGACAACATCCAGTTAATTGAGTGTGGGGCGTTACTTGATCACCGTCACCATGAGTCCATCCTGTCTTTCATCTTCACCTTTATTATCTCTTTGTGTTACTGGAACTTCCCCTCAGCTTATAAATATGGTGTCTTCTGAATCTTAACAGCAGAACTCCAAACTCCCCATGAACCCTTTGTTCCTCTCCAGCTATCATCTGATCTTTCTCTGCCTCACACAAATGTCTCAAATGACATGTTCCCTTCCTCAGCTTCTTTCACTGACTCAGTGTTGTCTCCTTGGCAACACTGCCTTTTTTAAGGAGGCACTCAATAAATATTTATCGAAGGAATCTATTGCTTTACCTTCACTATTTTTCCAAAATGATGCTCAGTAAGGTGACTTCCCAATCACCAAATCCACTGGGCGTTTGAAGCTGTCTATTTTTCTGAACCTCTTTGCACTTAATCTTGTTCCTTAAAACATTTTGTGCTCAACATTTTCTCCACTTGGCTTCTGTGACACTACTTTCCTTTAGTTCTCCTCGTAATGTTCTGCTGCTGTTATGCTTCTATTGGGGTTCTTCTTACTCCCATCTACTCCTTAAATGTTTCTCAGAATTTGCCTTTAACCCATTGTTCTTGTTCTACACTCCTATGTCTCAAAGTGTGTTCCCTGAACAGGTGGCATCAGCATCAACTGGGAACTTGTTAGAAATTCAGTTCTTTGGCACTCACCTAAAAGACCTCTGAAATAATAGACCTCTGAAAAAATCAACACCCATTTATGATTTTAAAAAATTAGGTATAGAAGGGAGCTTCCTGAACTTGATAAAGTTTTCAGCAAAACTTAAGGCATAGATTACAGAAAGTCTTTTGGCAAATATCAGATTTAATGTTGGGACATTAGAATCAGTTGCCTTATAGTTAGGAATAAAACAACTATTGCCTGGCTGGTATGGCTCAGTGGTTGAGCATTGACCTATGAACCAGGAGGTCACGGTTCAATTTCTGGTCAGTGTTGCCAGCGCGATCCCCAGTAGCGTGCATGCAGGAGGCAGCCAATCAATGATTCTCTCTCATCATTGATGTTTCTATCCATCTCTCCCTCTCCTTTCCTCTCTAAAATCAATAAGAATATTTTTTAAAAGGAATAAGACAACTATACCCACTATTTCCACCATTAATCAACATTACAGTGGGTCTTAGCTAATAGTAAGACAAGAAAAAGCAATAAGTGGGTTACAATTGGAAAATGACATTACACTATCATTATTTTCTTGTGATTTTATTATCTACTGAAAATAATCCAAACTAGTAGAATTAATAAGGGAATTCAGCAAAGAGGTCAGTAGAAGAGCAACATATCTATATCAACAACTTTCATATATATGAGAAATATCAATTTAAAAGGATCCAGAAATAAAGATCCCATTGATAATAGCAGCAAAACTTTATAAAATTTCCATGAGCAAACACATTGCAAGCTCTTTGTGGAGATCTTATAAAAGTTTCCTGAGAAGAGCAAAGAAGACTTCACTAAACAGACAAGTATACTAAGTTCATGAATGGAGAGATCTAATATTCTAAAAATATTCTCTCTCCCCAACTCAATCACTTTAATGCAAACCAATACAAAATTTGATTTTCCATGGAACTTCATAGAGAGGAATAAATATGCAATAATAGCCCACACTGTTATTTTTTTTTTTAAGAAAGAAAAATGGAAGGGGGGGGGTACTTGTTCTATCTGATATTAAGACAGGTTATAAAACTAATAACTAAAACAAATTGGTGTAAAAAATGAGTATTTATGTCAACAAAACAGAATAAAAAGTAAAAAAATAAAAAAAGAATAAAGAGTCTCATGTATATATGGGAATTTAGTATAAAAAAGGAATAGCATCTGAAAACTATAGGTAGAAAATGAATTAGTCAAGAAATGATTTGAAAAATATATGGTTTGGCAGCAATAGCTATCCTTATAAAATTATATTCCTACTTTTTAAAAAAATACATATTTTATTGATTTTTTACAGAGAGGAAGGGAGAAGGATAGAGAGTTAGAAACATTGATCAGCTGCCTCCTGCACACCCCCTACTGGGGATATGCCCGCAACCAAGGTACATGCCCTTGACCGGAATCGAACGTGGGACCCTTCAGTCCACAGGCCGACGCTCTATCCACTGAGCCAAACTGGTTAGGGCTCCTACTTCTTTTTTTTAAATATATTTTTATTGATTTCAGAGAAGAAGGGAGAGGGATAGAGAGATAGAAACATCAATGATGAGAGAGAATCATTGATTGGCTGCCTCCTGCATACCCCACACTGGGGATGGAGCCCACACCCGGCATATGCCTTGAACAGGAATCGAATAGTGACCTCCTGATTCATAGGTCGCCACTCAACCACTGACCACGCCGGCCCGGGCTATCTTCCTACTTCTTATCATACATATCAATAAATTCCAGATGGATTTTAAAATAATGCAAAAACAAAACAAACATATTTGAAGAAAAAAAAATATTTTAAAAAACTTCCTGATGTCTGTATTAGTCAGGATTCTCGGTTCTAACAGAACCAATAAAAAACCAATCCTGATTAACTTAGGCAGAATAATTAGTTTATGGGCAGGAGACAGTAACTTAACAAATGGAAATATCAAGAACCACAAGTCGTTCTTAAAATGGAAAACCTATCAAAGAAAAGTCATAAATGTGTGTATAAATGTGTAAGAAACTTCTAGAATGCATCGAGACTATGATTTGTTATAGCCACTTTGGAGGGCAATCTAGCAGCATCTAGTAAAGCTGTGCCTACCCTATGATCTAGTAAGTTCCACCTCTTAGTATCCACTTGGAGAAATATACACACTTGTGCCCAAGGAGACATGATTAAGAGTGGGCATTGCAGCCTTTTCTGTAATTCTGAGAAACTGGAACAACCTAAAAGTCTGTCAATCATGGAAGAGATAAAAAACAAAATATCAGGGAGCTGATAAACGGAATATGACATTACAGATAGACTGAGAAGTCCTACTGAGCGGGGGAAAAGCAAGATGCATAATAATACAAGCAGCATTATGTTATTTATGGAAGTAAACAGGACGTTACAGCAAAATTTTTTTTAAGATTTAGAGGAGACTGAAATGGATAAATTGTAAGATTTCAGCTATGTCTGTAATGTTCTAATTTAAAAAAAAGATATTAGGTATTTAACAATTAAAGAGAAATGAGAGTGGACACAGGTCTTGTATGGTCTGGCCCCCTGCCAACCTTTGTTTACCCTTTTCTGGCACCATGTTCCTCTTCTCAGAGTTTTATCTAGATTTGATTCTCAATGCTATAAGACCATTGCACTTGATCCTTTCTCTGTCCAGAATTTTGCCCCTTTCTCTCATCTAGTTTACACTCATCAATCCTTTGGATTTCAGTGAGAAAAACACTGCCTCAAGAATGTTTCCTTGGGCCCTGTTGGTGTGGCTCAATTGGTTGGACATCGTCCTGGGTACCAAAAGGTTGCCAGTTCGATTCCTGGTCAGGGCACAGCCCCAGTAGGGGGCATGCAGGAGGCAGCTGATGAATGTTTCTCTTCCCTGCCCATCAACTCTATCTAAAAATCAATAAAAATATTTTATTTTTTTAAAAGAATGTTTTCTTGGGCCCTAGCTGGCTTGGCTCAGAGGATAGAGCATCGGCCTGAGGACTGAAGGGTCCCAGATTCGATTCCGATCAAAGGCACGTACCTTGGTTGCGGGCACATCCCCACTAGGGGTGTGTGCAGGAGGCAGCTGATCGATGTTTCTCTCTCATCGATGTTTCTAACTCTCTATCCCTCTCCCTTCCTCTCTGTAAAAAATCAATAAAATATATATTTTTTAAAGAATGTTTTCTTGGGACCTCTGACCTAGGGGTCATGCTTCTGTCCTTTGGAGAGCTACCTTCGAACATGATTATGTAAACTTTATGTTACTAACTCCAGCTCTATGAGAAACAGTGTCCTGCTTGCTCCTCATTGTGTCTGAACACCCCACTTCATGTCTGGCACAGAACAGCCATTCAAGAACTTTTTGTTGAGAGCATCAAAGACTGAGGGCTAGACAAATCTGTGCGCTTTCCTAAAACAGTTGTATCGTGAGACCTCAAACTTCACACACCCCAAGCCATTGTCACTTCCCTTCCATAACTAGCCTCCTCCAAGGTTCCCTACTCCTAGCTGTTTAAGCTTGAAACCATCCAGGATGATTCCTGATTCTTCACCTTTCAGATCCAGTCTCTTCACCTGTATGTAGGTTCTTCTTCTCTCCATTCCCACAGCCATTTGCCGAATGTTCCCCATCCACTCTCATCCCCAGCCAAACCTTTCCACCTAGCTCCCAGAGCCATCAACCTTTAAAATGTGAATGTAATGCCCTGGCTCAGTGGATAGAGCGTCAGCCTGCGGACTGAAGGGTTCCAGGTTCGATTCCGGTCAAGGGCATGTACCTTGGTTGCGGGCACATCCCTAGTAGGGAGTGTGCAGGAAGCAGCTGAATCGATGTTTCTCTCTCATCGATGTTTCTAACTCTCTATCCTGCTCCTTCTCCCTTCCTCTCTGTAAAAAATCAATAAAATATATTTTTTAAAAATGTGAATGTAACTGTGACCCACATCTATTTGCCATTCAGCATGTTTGTAACATTGCTTCAGCATCTGGCTTTCCTTGAGAGTGACCAATGGTCCCCGTTTACCTGAGACAGAGTGATTTCTAGGATGCCAGACTTTCAGTGTCCAAACTGGGAAAATCCAGGCAAGCTGAGATGAACTGGTTACCCTACTCCTCTGCTAAGCTGTTATTACCATGAGGGCAGGGGTCATTTGGGGCTTGGTCACTGTCTAGGAGAGTCAGGATTTTTATTTTAAAGTTGTTTTGTGGATTTGGGAAGTGAATGTAAATACCTTTGTTGGTTCAGTTGCTCTCATAGGTAAGTACACAGTAGGTGTCAAAGTACCATTTTTGAAGATAAGAAACTTCACCTAACTGCTGATACCTAAACTGCTTTACTAAGTCAGCTAAACCTGACCTCAAGACCCGGGATCTAACCTCTCTGAAAGGAAACTCAACTCTGGGGTAGGTGCTGTGGCTTCTACCAATTGCATTACATGTAAGTCTCCAGATCACTGTTTTTGGAACTTTCACTGCTATACACATTGACCCCACACATTGAGCTCTTTAGTATCCATTCTCACAAGCATATGGTAGGGTGTGTTGTGGCTGAGAATGGCTGCTTTGGTGTACCCACAGGTTGAATCTGAATTCCACCACTTAGTGGTCATGTGACCTTGGGCAAGTCACTTCTCTGAACCCGTTTCTCATCTGTAAAGTATACAGGCTTATGCTTCCTAGCTCAAAGCAGTATTTTTTTTTAAGGCCTGATGCTTTTTTAAAATATATATTTTATTGATATTTTACAGAGAGGAAGGGAGAGGGATAGACAGTTAGAAACATTGATCAGCTGCCTCCTGCACACCCCCCACTGGGGATGTGCCCGCAACCAAGGTACATGCCCTTGACCAGAATCGAACCTGGGACCCTTCAGTCCGCAGGCCAACGCTCTATCCACTGAGCCAAACCAGTTAGGGCTCAAAGCACTATTTGACAAATGAGTCAAAACACTTTATACTAAAAGGCTATCCAGGTATTAAGTTTACAATTCCTAGTCCTCCCCTATTCATTCAATGCAGCCAACATAGATGTATTTCCTTGTTCCATAAAAACCTTGGACCAGGACTAGAGAACTGAGCACAACTAAGGTAGCCTTCAGGTGAGTTGAGTGAGTGAAGCCACAGACGGAGATATGAGGTTTTCCCTGGAAGGGAAGGAATCAATGTTTCCTCTCTAAGCTACTTGGAAGAACCTGTGAATTCCCCAATATAGGCATATCTTGTTTCATTGTGCTTCCCTGGCATTGCATTTTTTTTTTTTTTTACAAATTGAAGGCAAGATGCTCCACCAGCAAAACAACAGTGACTCACTTTGTGATGGTCTGGAACCAGACCCACGATATCTCAGGTATGCCTAGAGTGGAGACCACACTTCATTTTATTTTCCACCCCCACAAAATGAATAGAATTGACTGGCAGAAGATCCAGAACACATACTGCCTTCACACATATTGTTCAAGAGACCAGACTATTGAGCCCTTTGTCTAAGAAAATTCCCCAAACCCATCTTTTTTATTAAAGGCACTTCAATAAAAGTAAAGGCGCAGTCTTTGTTACTGAAGTACACTAAAATGACCAGATAGATTTTCACCAAATTTGGAAAGCATGTTGGGGATGGTTTGCCCTAAAATAGAAACTGTGTGCACATATGAAATTAACCTCTCAGGGTCCTGGGAGATGTGTCAGGAGTTAGGTCACTGTCTTCAAAGCAGCCCAAAGTGATAGAGTGAGCTCTGTGTGTCTTGCCTACGGGAGAAAGATGCCCTACATATCAAGAGGCAATGGGCAGAGTTAACAAACTGGTTTCAAATCTAAGACCTAAATCAAAGACTCGAGTGCATTTCAGGAGAAGAGTCTTTTCTGTCCTTGGGTTCAAGATCTCGAGCCGAGAGTCGAGGTAGAAGACACTAGTTAGTTTGTTCTTTATTTTCATTGGAAAGTTACAGGGTTACTTATCAACAAAGTGACTGTCCAGGACAAAAATATCCAGTGGTTTCTATGTACAGGCGCATCCTGGGGTCCCTACCTCCTGAAGGGCCTCACCCCCAAGGCCTCAGCTGGCTCCTTCCCAGTCCTCTAGGAACCAATCACAGAGACACAGGGGACAAAAACCAGCCTGACCTCAGGACTTGCTTTCACCCCAAAGGGAGGTGGCGTCTGCTGGTGTGGGACCCAGGCCTCGTCTTGGGATAGTGGATGGGAGGTTTTCTTTCCCAGGAACCCACCCTGCTGGACCCCCACCCCCCTCTCTTGGACATTCCTGGGACTATTCTGACGGGCTCACGGGCTCCCACTCTGGTCTTTTTCCTTTCAAGTAGTCATTCTAACACTAGGGCATCCCAGCCTCGCATCCTGGTGGACACGCATTTGCTCTGTCGCTTTTCTTTTGTCCCTGTTTTTGTACAAAAACAATACTCTTGATGGGACCATTTTTGCCCAAGAAAACCAAAGTGGTTCAACAGGTGCAGTTCTGCTGGTCGATCTGCTTCCGGCAGGGCTCCATGGTGACAGCGACGCCCACACCGCTCCGGCCAGATGTCATGCAGGTAACCTCGCTCCAGGTGTCCGTGTCTGGGTCGTAACACTCCACGCTGTCCAGGAATGTGTGGCCGTCGTAGCCCCCTGCAGGGATAGCAGCGGAGATGGTCACTGCCTCCAAGGGCAGGGGAAAGAAAAAGGAGGAAGAAACCACCAGAAGCCTTCCTATGTGACTTGAGCCAGCCCCCCAAAGACGAGGCCACTTAATTCGTCTTCTCTACCCAGGTCCCCACGCCCAGGGCCTCACCGAGAACATAGATTCGCCCCTGGTGCACAGTAATCCCCAGGGCACTTCGCCGGTGCTTCATGGGAGCTACGAAAGTCCACGTTTCTGTCTCCACGTTGTAGCGCTCCACACTGTTCAGCTGGTCCTGACCATCGTAGCCCCCAGCAGCGTAAATACAGTTGTGCAGGACACAGACTCCTAAACCACACCAAGAAGAGAGGGTGACTCCGGGGCCTGGCCTGGGGGGCCCCAGCCACCACCTTCCTGGGGGGCCCTTCCCTCCTCCCTCTCCCAAAGGACCCTTCAGAAACTAAGCCAGGAAAGAGGAACTTGAATTCTGTCAGAATCTAGCTCTCCTGTGTGTGCCACAGGGTATTCAAGATGGAAACAACAGGCTTCACTCAGGCCTGGCCAAGTCTCACTCCCGGGGCTGGGAGGGGGATCCTCCATGATCCCCTCCCCTCAGCCCCCACCCACCTGCCCCACTTCGGATGGTGTTCATGGGTGTGATCATTCGCCACTCATCTCTCTCTGGATAGTAACATTCGGCTGAGTTGAGGCGGTTCGTCCCGTCAAAGCCCCCAACGGCATAGAGCAGCCGGTTGAGAACAGCCACTCCCACCCCGATTCTTCGAGTCAGCATTGGGGCCACCAAGTGCCACTCATCACGCTCTGGCTCATACCTGCAAGGCACAACAACAACGACAGCAGCAGTCACAGCCGTCCTCCGAGGAGCACTTCCTAAAGCCCAGTGTTCCACTCGGTCTGTCCTACCAGGTCTAGCTCGTTACTCCTCACGATTGTTCTCTAAGGTGCAAGTTATCAGTAGCTCCCTTTTCCAGATAAAAAAACTGAGGTTCATAGCTGTCATGTGCTCAAGGTTTTACACACACACACACACACACACACACACACACCTGCTGGACCCTGCTGGCTTCATCAGACCACTTCCAAGCCCTGTGCTGAGTCTTATGTGTGCTATCTCACCAATGCCCCAGCCTAGTGGGCAAGGGGTCCTCATTATTGTCACCTCTCTTCAAAGATGATAAGATGGAGGCACAAAGGGGTTAAGTGGTACATCAGGGACATCAAAAAACCCGTGGAATCAAAAAAGCAATGGAGCTGGGGTCTGACCCAGCCCTCTCGGAAAACAGAACCCCAATTCTAACAACTAGGCTACCTCCCAGGATGTTTTTTCTTAAAGTTTGATCTCAGAGAGAGAGGGGCCTGGGCAACTCCAGTTCATGCCTGTGCTCCTGGAATAATTAATAGTGTCCTTTTTCTTTTTTTTTTTCTTCTCAAAAATAGCCTATTAAGGGTGATGCATCATCCCATCATCCTAGTTACAGACCACAGGCATTAGAAACCTCTGGGGCATTTGTTTAAAATTTCCATTCCCCAGCCTTGCTCCAAACCCACCCACCAATGCCAGACCTCCACAGCTCCAGCAGCAGGCTGGGGAGTTTAACAAGTTCTCCAGCTGAGAACTATATCCTGGATCACACTTCTGGAAGAAGAGAAGGTGGAGGACTAAACTATGCAAAAGTCAAAAGTCCAATATGCTTGGCCCCTAAACACAGGGTCACTACGCACAGCAGTGCAGGCTTGCCCTGCACCAGGGCACCACATCGAAGAGGGCACTTGCCACATACTAGACCGCAGACTCTATTACAACAATTTTGGGGCTGACGACAGTGAGGGGTTGCGTTTTAACAAAATTAGCATATTACATCCATTTCAACCTGATGGAACTCTTTCCAAGTCTGCAGAGGAGCTGTATGGTTTTGTGATGGCCCTGTACGCAGTTCCCAGGCCCAGACACATCATCCAAGGTCACCACTAGAAGTCTCCCGCGAATTTAGCTTTAATTTGAGGTTTCTACTACCTGAAAGCAGGCTGTAGAGACAGGCACTCAACAATAGGAGGAATCTCCAAATGCCAAGGCTTGGGACCTGTCAGCTGGGGGACCCTCTGAGCCCACCCCTTCTGGCCCTGCTACTCACCTCTCCACACTGTTGTGGTGGATGCATCCATGGGAGCCACCAACAGCATAGATGTGCCCATCGATGACCCCAACCCCAATTCGGTTGCGTGGGACACTCATGGGCGCACAGGGCGACCACTGGTTGGTCATGGGGTTGTAGCAGTCCAGGGCGCTGGAGTCGGTGTTGCCATCAGGCGAGTTGTTCCGGCCGCCCACGGCATACAGCAGCCCGCCCACCACGCAGCCTGCCAGGCCACTTCGAGGCACCTGCAGGTCTGCCAACCGGAGCCATGTGCCATCAGTGGGGTTGTAGGCCTCCAGGTAGCTGAGTGACTGGCGGAAATAGCCACCAGCAGTGTAGATGAGCCGGCCCACCTTGGGCGCCCGGCAGGGCATCACCTGTGTGGGCTTGTGCAGCGTGAGCTCCTGGAAGATCTTGACCAGGTAGTCCTTGCAGCGGGAGTCTGACTGCAAGATCTCACACTTCTGCAGCTGCATCTGCAGGAAGTGGGGCGTCAGCGAGTGGCAGCGCACGGCCCGCAGCAGCGCCTGTACATAGAAGCGTCGGTGCTCACAGTCGTACTTGACCCAGTTGATACAGGCATGGAAGACCTCAGACTCGCAGCGCACATTCAGATCATCCCGGCTGATGAGGGTCACCAGCTGGCAGTGGGACAGGTTGAAGAACTCCTCTTGCTTGGCCACCTGCAAGGGTGTTGGCGTGACAGGCTGACTCCTGTGTCTCCCCCCAATGCCTCAACTGGAGTGACCTTGGACAAGTCACTCAACCCGCCTCTGACAATCTGTTTCCTCGTCTGTAAAATGGGAGTTTGAATAGTATGAACTCATTGGTTGTGAGGATTAAATGAGTTACTACCATGTGCCAGGCATGTAGTACGTAAGTACTCAGGTAAACGGGCAAAGACACAATGTACCTTGTATCTTTTTTGTTTCATTTTTTGTTTGAACTATAAGAACATTACCTTTTAAATTTTTATTTATTTATTTTGAGAGAGAGAGAGAGAGACAGATAGAGACATTGATTTGTTGCTCGACTTATCTATGCATTCATTCACTGGTTGGTTCTTGTATGTGCCCTGACAGGGGGTCAAACCCACAACCTTGGCATATGGGGACAACGTTCTAACCAACTGAGTTACCTGGCCAGGGCTACCTTTTTTTTTATTTTTAAATGATATTACTTTTTCAAAATGGGATATTTACTAAAAAGGAAAAAATAGCCCTAGCCGGTTTGGCTTAGTGGATAGAGCGTCGGCCTGCAGACTGAAGGGTCTCAGGTTCGATTCCGGTCAAGAGCACATGCCTGGGTTTCAGGCTCGATCCCCAGTAGGGGACGTACAGGAAGCAGCCAATCAATGATTTGCTCATCATTGATGTTTCTAGCTCTCTCTCCTCTCCCTTTCTCTCTGAAGTCAATAAAAATATTTTTTTTAAAAAAAGGAAAAAATAATAGCAATAAAATATTCTAGAAAAAAAATCTCTCCCTTTCTCTCTGAAGTCAATAAAAAAATTTTTTTTTTAAAAAAAGGAAAAAATAATAGCAATAGAATATTCTAGAAAAAAAAAGTGCAGGCTCTGAAGAAAGCAACCTGAGTTGTAATTTTGGCTCCCTACTTTCTAACTGGATGACTTTGGGCAAATATCTGAAACATTCCATGCCTTCGTTTTCCTCCTCTATAAAGGGGATTATATCAGTAGCTCATAATGGGGCTGCTCCAAGGACATACAGGGCCCTGGGGCAAATCCTTCCTGTCAGGCACTGGTCTATAAAAATAGACCCCACATCAGCAGGTGACCACCGTTCAGGTGCTCCAAGCCCAGGCAATCCCTTCAACAAGCACCGTGCAGGGCAGTGGAAAAGCCTGTTTGCAGACTGCCTTTCTGGAAGCTAGCTGTCCAGATCCTCGGGACAACTGGTCAACCCCACATGTGGTGGAGAGGGAAGAAGAGAAATGGTGATCAGAGTAATGTCTACCCCGCTGGTCCCCAGCCACTGAAGGAGGATTTTGAATACTTTTAGGAAAGCCCTCCAACTCACACTTCCTCCTGGGATAGTTAAGAAGATTCAGTGATTGAAAGGATGGAAATCATTTAGAACACAGGCTGGCCCACAGCAAAGACTCAAGCGCTTATTATTTCTGCTTTCACAACTTCCTCCACTTAAAAATGAAAATGAAACCAAGAACATAGGATGACACTGCGTGAACCAAAGAAAACACGTCTAAGGGTCACATTTGCAGTCAGCAGCATGTCATGGGTCTTCAATAAATATTTGCTGACTGCTGAAATGCCGGGCCCTGCTCTGCACACACCAGGGCTGAGCTGCTGTCATGTTGGCGGCATCCTATCCCCACTCTGGACCCAAGAAACCAGGGAGCCCAGATACCCACGAAGGTCTCACTCGCCTCGGCTGTTTCCCAGAGTCGCCCTAGATGTGTACACTAGAAGCTCAGAGCTCCGCTCTTCTCCAGCTGCTTGCCTTCACCCTTCATATCTCAAGGGAGAGAGTGATGACCACCCCTGGTCCCTGGTCCTTCTCATACCACCCCCAAGCCTTGCTCCAGGTCCCGTCCCCTCACTCACCTCCCCGAAGTGCATGTAGATGTACTCTCGGGCACGCTGGTGAAGCTCAGCACAGCCAATCTGCTCAGCGAAGTTGGCAATGCCGATGGCATTGCTGGGGTCCAGCTGCTGCACCAGAAAGTCACTGCAGGCACGGACGACACTGTCGATCTGGTACATGACGGCACCGTTCATGACATGGAGCACGCACTTCTCACCCATGGAGATAGAGGCTGTATAGGCGAACTCGATGAGACGCTCCATGACCTTGGGGTGGATGCCCTCGATGGACACCACCTCCATGCCCTGCTCCCGCAGCCCGTTGGTGAACATGGCCTTGAAGACAGGGCTGGATGAGGCCAGAACCACCTTGTGGGCCATGAACTGTGCAGCCGGTGCGTCCTGGTACTTGACCTGAAGCGTGACATCGCACAGCTGCTGGCTGAGCCGCAGTTCGTTCATGATTCCGAAGGCCTGCTTGGTGTGGTCCTCCAGCGTGTAGCTGAACGTGCGGTTGCCATGCTGGGAGGGTGTCACCTCAGCCTTGCACTCGGTGGAGGCGTACATCACTGTGTCCCCTGAACCCTCAGGGCGCTGCGACCTCAGGGGCAGAAATCGGGTGTGGACCCCAGCCCCGCTAGGCCTGGGTTCCGGCTGCATGGGGTTCCAGGTGACAAGGGACAACACCACCACTGACACTCAGGGGCCTGGAGGAGGGAGAGCACAGGGCTGGGGACAGGGCCTGGGGCCAGGCCTCCTTTTTAAAAATACAGTGACTCCTAGACCAGTTTTCCTTGACAAGCCCAAGTGAAGCAGCATCCATTTGTTCTTGCTAAATGTCCCATAGCCTCACCAGCCCACAGGTCCATCTTAAAACACGTCAGAGGATGTCCCTCCCCTGCTCAGAATCCCCCAACTCCCTATAGCATGAGTAAAACCAAAGGACCTGCCAAGCCCTCCACAGTCAGCCCCTGTCCTCTTCCCTTTGCTCACTCTGTTCCAGCGGTTTACTGGCCCTTCCCTTCCTAGATCATGTCCAGCTCACTCTTTCTTTCATTCATTTCACCAACATTTATTGAGCAGCTACCGTGTGCCAGGCACTGTGCTAGGCACCGGGGACATAGCAGTGACAAAGACAGACATAAACTGTGCTGGAGTTGACACCTGGGAGGAAATGGCCATAAATAAAATAAACAAGATTTGAGTAGAAACTGGAGTCATGAAGAAAATGACAACAGCACTGACAGTGTGACTTGGGGGCAGTTACTTTAAACTGGGCGGTCCAGGCCTCTGTCGGAGCTGAGACAAAAAGAATGAATATATGAAAGCGGGTGTGGGTGGGAGTTAGTTTTCCAGGTGAGGGAACCGCAAGTGCAAAGGCTCAAAGGCAGAATGAGAGCGACAAACCGGAGAACCCTCCAGGAAGAGTGTAATGACAGATGATGACTACAGAAAGGAGGGTCTTCTGGAGCCTGGAAAGCCAGGGCATGAGGTGTTTTGAAAGGTCCTGCTTGGGAAAAGGTGGGGGGCGGGGGAGACCTGCAAGGGGCTCCCCAGGTTCTCCGTCTTATCTTTCCGGGGCTCAGCTCAGATTCACCTCCTGTTTTCATTCCCATAACCGCCCTTGTCAAGAACTGAAATGAGCTGCTTGGCTTGCTCGTGGAGGGGTGGCCCGTCCCCCTGACCCTCGCCCCAGAGCTTCGGAAGGCAGGGAGCCCCGTGCAGGTCACGGTTACACCACCTTCTCCCGCGCCTCCCCCACGTCCAGCCCAGAACGTGCCAAGGCGCAGGGTCAGCGGGCTGTGGCTGGCGGGCTGC